TGTTTTCTCTCTATTTGGCCACTTAGTGTCCTATTTGTACCAAAGAAAAGCTTATAAACAAGACTATTTCCCAGAGTCCAAAGAGAGGAATTTTGGGGATTTAGGGGAGATGCTGCCCATTTTGGTATTGCTATACATATGTTCTTAAGCCACTTGTTTCATCCTCACCTAGTTACATACTCTTCAACTCCCAGATAGTCGTTGCTACTCATTCTCCAGCCACTTCCATCATTATTGGACCATTAACATAGTTTTGCCTCTCTAATCACCTTCCTAACCTTGAACCCCCCCCACACACAGACATATATATATATATATGTGATTTTTGGAATTTCAGAATGGAGGAAAGAGAAACAGAAAGAAAAGTGGTGGAGAAGAAAGTTCAAAATTACGCGGAGGTTTTCTTCGTGGGCAATTATTGAAGAGATCGCGTGTTACCCTAATTAAAATGCTTCAGTACTCTCTCCTCTTGTGGAGCGCATATGATTTTTGTGTTAAATCTGAACCGTGAACTGGAGGAAGATGGTGGATCTTTTCTCATTTGCTCTTTGATCTGATGGAAATGTACGATTTGGATGATTACAAATTTAAATACTTGATGTCATGTAGTGTACTGCATGAGAGCATCCATAATGGATGTATTAAAAATGTGTGTTAAAATGTGTTATATGATAAAAAGTGATAAAAATAGGACCTAAAAATGTGTTAAGAATTTGTTAATTTGGTGACTGAATTTGTTAATTTTAGAGGATGAGTAGTTGTGCAATGGATGTATTAAAGTGTGTGTTAAGATGTGTTAAAAAATATATATATATATATATATATATAATAAATAAAATATAAAATAATTGAAAAGTGCAGTGGGCCCCCACCCCACTGCACTGTCAGTGCCCTCTCTCTTTTTCATTTTGTCAGTGCATCTTTGCTTGGTAATAAGCTGGCCGACCATAAAATCATCTGGTTGGCCAAAAAAAACTCTGCAATTTTTTTTTTCTTGAAGGTCCGGATGTTTGGAGAGACGACTGGCTGGACATTTGGCCGGATGATCCCACAGCACTTTCCTCTCTCTTCTTCGCTGGCTAAAACACTAGCTGCAGTAAATACACTATTTAACATCTGACACTAATATTATCCTTAGCAGCTGCACTACAAAACTTAAAGTGAAATTGACTGGCTAAAATTTAATAGCTGACATTAATAAATGGACTAACATGTCCATTGCTAATGCTCTAAGCTTTCCTCTGACAATGACAATAAAATGTTTTCGAGGTAGTGGCCTAACAAGCCCAACAAATAAAAACATGGTACAGGAGTGCGAAAAGGAGAATTGGGCTATGGTCCATTGGCAATGGCTGACACACCAAGCTTATTGCCCTTCTCTTTAATATCACATATTTAGAATTTTTATTCAAATAAAATTTTAAATTTTAAATGTGTAAATAAAATTTATTTTAACTTAATTCACACTACACTAAATTTAAATACACCCTATATTGAAGCTGTAATTAATTTTTTTTTTTTGAATAAAAATTATGATTAGATAGAATTTTTCTATTTCCACCACCTTTTACTTGAAGCAATTTTGATAAGACTTTGATGTATTTTCAAAGTGAATACCATTTTTTTGGGGTCCCACATGAGTTTAATTTGATACTTAAACATATAAAGCTTAGTACATATATTAATAAGAGTGCTGCTATTAGCACTCCATCAATTATTTTGGACCTCTTATTTTTTTAGAGCCCTATTTATAAATTCTAAAATTTTTAAAATTTCTTTTCTCTCCCTAAATAATACCAAAATTATTCTTATGAAGTATTCTACCCATTCAATTGAATGCACACCCTCACACCCCAAAAAGTCTCTCTCCTAAAAACCTTAACAAAACTTACGAAGATGATTACTACTTCATCTCCATATACCTATTCATGACCTGAGAAAAGAAATGTAAGGTTTTTTTGTTGTTGATTCAAAATTTCCCTTTTGTAGGTTCTGCAATCTCCACGAGTTTCGATTATCTGTTCTCGAACAAATAAGAAATGTTTGGTTACATGTTCCCGAACAAATAAACAATATTTGGGCTTGTGTTCCCAAATTTAGGTGATATGTTCGAGAGTTCAGCCAAAAAAAATAACAAACAGTTTTTATTATTTTTGACATTTTTTTAAAGAAATTTACCCTTATAAGGTTAATCTCTTCTGAGCTAAGAACACCATCAAATATGTGAACCTCCTCTGAGTTTTTATTATTGTATTCCTTTCGTCTCATGGAGTTGTGTGGTTGTTGAAAAAACTTTCACTCATTATTATTGCTAAGTGCAGGTAAACAAATAGTTGCCATTATTACCGCCGAAATATTACCGCCAAAGGGTTTTCAAGGTTTTGAGAGTGGGTAGATTTTGAAGGTGAAATTTGGAGAAGATTGATGTGAGGTGATGGAAGTGGATGCTCTCAAAAACCCTAACTCATGATATAGTGGGTGTGTGGGCTTAATTGTGAGATAGGGTGTCCCAAAACTAGTGATGCCTTTTTTAATAATTTCATTTGACGTTATTATTGTAATAAAAAATAAAAAAAACTAAAAAATGGAGAGTCTAAAATAATTAATGAAGGTGCTAATAATATCACTCATTAATAAATAAATAAAAATATTGTATTCAAAATTTTAATCAAAATTTAAATTTACTGTGTAAATTTAAAATGAATATAGTGTGAGTCATACCTAAAATAAATTCCAATCACAAATTTACAATTCTGAATATTTATTAGTACTTAGTATTGCTGTATTAAAATACATATATTTTGGTCACAATATTCCTAACAAAACTCTCTAAAATTAGCTCCGACTTAATTTAGCCGAGCTAGTTAGGGTAGGAGTTCATGTTAATTATAATTTACATACATTAAAAATAAATGAGAAGAACAATTCTTAATTAAGATGGTGTGGTCACTTCTCCAAGCAAAGTAACATTTGCTTCGACGATGCAAGTGTTGCCCACCAAGTAACCCTTCTTTGGGTCGTTGAGTTTAACAATTGACATGAACTTCTGTGCCCCCCAAGCCAAGCATGATGGTCCAAATGATTCTCAACTTCAATAAAACAAAAACCAAACTCAAAATTAAATCTATAGAACATAAAAAATTCATTACATAGTAGATAAATCTCACCTTTAAATTCAAAGTCATCTGATTTGGTTGGAGTTTGGCTTGTGACACGAAGGATGAATTTGACAAAGAGCCTAGTATCAGGTGGAAGAGTTGTTTGGTCCAAACATAGGAACATTGAAATACTATTTCCCTTCCCATCTTCATTTCCACGTGGATAAATCCAAACCTTCCTGTCCATAATGCATCAACATAATATCATTCTGATAATCGTGATCATACAATTTCATAAATTTTTTTTTAAATGAATGACACCACACTCTTCATTTTCTTGCAACTTTTATGATAATTTTTTTTTTTTTTTAAACTTCTTGTTACTTTTGGATTTGAAAGGGGAAAGATAGAGTTTTGTACATACCATTTATGATCTCCGATAATAAATGCCTCAGACTCGTATTGATGTAGGTTTAAGGTTGGAAATGTGATCTACCTGCTGCTATGTTTTGTGACGGCTGCTGATGCTATGGATTGATGGTGTTCTGCTCCTGTTCTGCTGCTATGGTTTGTTGTTTGTTTTGCTCTGGCCTGCTGCAGCAGTTTTTCTTTTTTTGATTGTCTTGTTTTTCTATTTGTTTGTTAGTTTTGGGTTGCTTTTTTTGGTTTAGTTTTGGTTTTCTTCTGCTTGGGTGAGGTTGGCTTCGGTGTTTGTGGTTGGTTACTCACCAACTCTTGATGGTGTGCTAGCATATGATTGGGCGCGGTCTTATCAGTGCTAATCAAGTTGGGATTGATTTGGTTCGCTATGATACTTTTTGCACTCATCTTTCTCTTCTTTTTTATTGATGTTATTATCTTATAATTCATCAATAAAGTTCCTTTTTCTTTGCTGATCAAAAAAAGGTTTAAGGTTGGAAATGATTTAATGTTCCATATATAACTACTAGTCACGATTTCTTTCACCATTGACAAATACTCTCCTTTGCGTATTGATTTGAGAATAAAAATGTCGATTCCAAACACGCAAGTGTCATTGACAAGGTACCCATTTGAAGAACCACTAAACACATCAAGATCATGCTTTTTGCACTCATGTTTCTCTTCTTTTTTTATTGATGTTTTTATCTTATAATTCATTAATAAAGTTCCTTTTTCTTTGCAGATCAAAAAAAGGTTTAAGGTTGGAAATGATTTAATGTTCCATATATAACTACCAGTCACGATTTCTTTCACCATTGACAAGTACTCTCCTTTGCGTATTTGTTTGAGAATAAAAATGTCGATTCCAAACACGCAAGTGCCATTGACAAGGTACCCATTTGAAGAACCACTAAACACTTCAAGATGGATGAACTTTGGTACTCCCAATTCCGTTTGCATTGCATGGAAGCACCTTACTTTTCCAGCTGCATTATCACATTAATTAAATTATAAAATGAATCACAAAACAAACACACGAAAAATTGTACAACTAAAATATATATGAGGTGTATAATGAAGTAATTTGAGACATGTAAACCTGGAAGTGTATAATACTTGTCCCCAACTTGATCAAATACAAAAAAATTTACAATGGCTTTAACCTCCCAACCAGCAAGGAGAGAACTTGTATCCACCAATGTCAAAGATATGGAAAGATGGCCTTGCCCATCTCTATCCTTGTTCCCATTTGGGTAAATAGATAATTTCCTGCCAAAATTTGATGTTCCAAATTTGTCAAATTATTGATGAGAATTAAAAGTTTTTAAATTTTTGTTTCATTAAAAAAAATCTCAAAAGGGTGAATTAGGGAAGAAGAGTTGTATGAACATAAAAATATATATAGATAGATACCATTTGTAGTCACCAGCTTCTAGCTTGTCTGAACTGTATTTCTCTATCGAACACTGCAAGAAAAATAGGTTTTAACGGCGTTTTTTTAACGGCGTTTTTTTAAACGCCACTTTTTTTAATTTTTAATGGCGTTTTATAACTGCCACGTATTTGTTAACCAAAACGGCACCGTTTTATAATTGAAAACGCCTCCAAATGCGGTAGGCACACGCGCGTCCTCCGTCCTTCCTTATTTTGAATCTCAGCCCTTTCTTTCTCTCAACCCTTATACGCACACACATCTCTCTCTCTCACTCAACCCTCTCTAAGCTCCATCGAAGCTCCATCTGCACCGGCGATTTCGAAGATTCAAAGCAATTTCGAAGCTCCATCGCCAGCACGATCTGCACCGGCGAGGTAGCGAGCTCCACCGTCTCTCTCTCTCTCTCTCTTTAGTGAGAGATTCAGAGCTCCACCGTTTTATTCTAACTTGATCATTGTTTGCAGAGATTCAGAGGTTCAGTGATTTCAGAGCGATTTCTATTTCGAAGCTCCGTCGCCACCACCATCTGCACCGCCGATTTCGATTTCACTAAGGTGAGCTCCACTGTCTCTCTCTCTCTCTCTACCTACACTTTCTATCGCTAAAACTCTCTTTTCTCATCTTCCAGAAGCTCAGATCTGAACTCTGACCCCTCGATTACTCGCTTTTCAAGCTCCAATGGCGGTAGCACAATAGCCAAGCCTATATGTTCAATCTGCTACGAAGATCTCAATCCAATCATCGAAGCCCTTCAATCAATCTCCATTTGCGGCCATGTCTTCCACGAGCTCTGGTCAGTCACTTCTATACTCACATATTATAGTTATATCTTCACAGTTGTTCACTTCAATCGATTATTATTCGAGAACGATCTTCAATTTGATGTGTTTTTTTGACAAACCTAGCCTTCAACAATGTATCGAGTACTGTTCAAATGTGAAGAAAAAACGATGTCCTGTATGCAAGCAGGCCTTTTCGGAGGCCAATGTTAGTCGGCTTTATTTCCAATCAGTAGGCAACCTCTATCAGAAATTGATCAATTGCGAAGATAATCCAGGGGAGTTGCATAGGGAAATGGAGAAATTGGAAGGGAAGGTTTTAGGACTCAGATCGGCGATAGAGCGTCATCAGAAAGATGTCGAAGAACTCAATGAGGAGGTAATTTAATTTCATTGCTGTTCTTTTCAAATTGTTTTTTTCAGAGGCATACAGTTCTTTTCAAATTGTTGAGTGTGTTTTTTGTGTTTTACATGTTTACACAGGTTGATTGAAACCTTCTCATTTAGCTCCTTCCTTGTATAATAGGAACTTGATAGATCAACTTTGGAGTGCGTAAGGCTGCAGGAAAGGAATATGGTATTGGCCAAAGAGCTTGCAACGTTGAAACTGTAAGTGCCTTCATACTAGTGACAGAACCATTTATGTTTCGAGTCTCCAAACGAACTTTGTTGATTATTATGGCTGTCTGATCGAAACACTTCGAGATCGAATGTTTAGGCCCTTTTTGTCTACAATCATTCCTGAGAATTCAAGGTAGGTAATATCTTCTCTGTTTTTTAGTTCCTTACATAGATTTTATTTTGTATATTATGTGGCTATTTTTGATAAAATAAATTTCCCAACATAATAGAAGTTGGATTACCAAGCAGGCCTTTTCGGAGGCCAATGTTACTCTGGATTTGTGCATTATTAATGGATAATAGGCAGCGTCTGAAATTTTCAAATGTTGGTATTTATTCATTTATTATTAATGGATAATGGTATTTATTCATTTATTATTATTTTTTTGTTGGGTATTCTCGTAGCTCTGTGATGGACGATTGCTTGCAAATAACGGGTGAGTTGCTGAGATGAGAGATACTTTATTGAAAAAAGAGAGTTGGTGAGAGATAAGCATGTGATGGGAGCAACTGGTGTTGTATTACCAAACAGTGGTAGCAAAGTGTATAGATTGTGATTTTTTTTTTTGTCACATCTGGTTCCTTTGTTTTCTTTTGTTTTTACTTTGAAGGACATAATACGTATGGAGAGAATCAAAGTGTTTAGTTGCTTGTTGAGAGTGTCGCAGCTTGTCAACATATTGCCTTAAAATTTGAATCCTCGGTTCCTTACCATGTGCTCATATTGGTTGATACTTACTTTTATTTATCTAAAATGCCAGGATTTTTATTTTGTCATTAGCTGCAGTCTTTGAAGTTGGCCATTCTTTAATTTTAAGTTTTGCATGCCATGTCTGAGTCATTAGCCTTTTTGTCGGAGTTGCATTATCTTTCTGTAGTTTTCTTCCTGTTGTAATTTGTATGTCCTGCTAGCTCACTATTGTTTTTTCAGTTTGGATGTATATTGCCTCGTATGGATGGAATCTAACAGCTTTAACTAACTTGCAGTTCAAGAATTGCACAGCAAGGAAGTGAAATCGTCATCTGATTCATATTTGAAAGGTCTCACGATATTAAAGGTGATCTTGGGAACAGTTTGATGCTTAAAATACTTACAAGTTTCCCTGAACAAAGTGCTGAAGTGTTTAGTTGCATGGTTACCCAACAGGTTTTTACATATTTATGTGAGATTACTATTACTATCCCGTGGAGAATCTTATCAGCTAAATTCTGAGTGATCTGCCTCATTATGTTTTATCATGTGCGATCTTCAAATTTTCTAGTCTGATACTTATTGGAGCTTGTTTTAATTCTAAATTGCTATTGTTGTTCATTCACATTTGTGTTTTGTGTGAAATGCAAAAGTCATGTTCTCGATATCCCTGTTGAAGCAGATTATTTACAGAAATTTCTATTATTTTTACCAAAAGTAGATAAAAATGGAGACACTACCTGAATTGCTATCTGAAGAAACTTTTCCAACTATTTATGGTTATTTCTCAGCATGTTTAGATTAGAACTCATAGATGACTTATTAGTACTGTTAACTTTTCCAACTATTTATGGTTATTTCCAACTATAGTTATATTTTTAAAATAACAAAAAATCTATTACGACGTTTTTGAAGCGTCGCTAATGCTTATGTGACGTCATGTTACCGTTGGCTGCCACATTTAACGGCGTTTTTATAAACGCCGTCTATACTAATTTTACGACGCTTTTAAAGCGTCATAAACTTACAGCGACGGCCGCGTCCTCGACGTTTGGTAGTAAGTGTCACTAAAGGAATTAGCGGCGTTTTTCAGACATATAGCGGCGTTTCAAAAACGCCGCTAAAAGTCATTTTCCCAGCAGTGGAAGCTTTGGAAAGCCATGAAAATGACATAATTTTGAAGGAGTAGTGTGCTGGTGGAATATCTCTTCCTGAAAGTAAATCATCAAACCAAAATGTACCCAAATCAACATTTACTTCAACATGTCCATGTAAAATAAAATTCGATCTTATCCACTTTATTCTTTCCAAAACTCTCAAATAAGTAAAAAAAAAAAAAAAATTTGTGAGTGCACGAGAAAGAGAGACCTTCAAAGAATACATCGGATCGACAATGCTACGTAGCTCAAATTTTGTGGCTCAAAAGTGGCTCAAATGGCCAAAACGACGTCGTTTTGAGTACAGAACAACATAAAAATGGCCAAAACGACGTCGTTTTGGCCATTTGAGCCACTTTTGAGCCACAAAATTTGAGCTACGAGACATTTTCCTACATCGGATTGAGGTTTTCTTAACCTTAAACCCATCTCAATGATCAGGAGCAGAAGCATAAAAACAGAAAAGTTGGGAAACACAATAAATAGGGAAACCAAACCCATGTCTGTGAACAAAGTACCAACTTTTGGGGAAAAGAAAGTTTTCATAACCAAAGTGAAACTGGAAAAGGAAGGGATCAACCACCCGTACACTTATTCCTTGTACTTGTTTTGTTTTGTTACTTCCTTCCCTAGTTGCATATACTCTTTTCACTGCATAGATTATAGAACTAAATACAAAATATATATGAATTAATAAAATTTTGCAAAATTTATTGATGGTATACATGTGGAAAATCTTATATATCTGATTCTGTAATTCTTCTATTTGTTTTGAGGCTTATTCATATTTGTTACAGCCTCAGTCGGTCCAAGTAAGGTTGAGACTTCTCTCACTCATTCTCATGTAAAATAAAACATTTATTTTTATTTGTTAAAATAGTAAATTTATTCCAATTTTTTTGAAGTGAGAATTGTGTGATTGAACATAATTTTCTCTTGAATCGGAGTACATAGCTCACTTTCATAAGAAGACATGTCATCACACAATATGAATTTTAACAAAAATGGAACCTTTATAATTTTTTTGGCTGGGGAAGCTTAAGAAAAGGAAATCAACTAACAACTTGCTCTGTTTGAGTCAATTCAAGAGGCAGTTCATAAATTCATAATGTTGAATATTGATTTAATTTTGGGGCCACAACGTGGGTGGTAGGTTGGGCTCAGCCTCAAATTATGGCCGATCCATGAATTGTCCTCTGTCAATAATATTGTTCGTAGAAATTGTCTTAATAGAATTTTAATGATTGTCCTTCCAACACTTCTGAATTTAATTAATTTTTTTTTTAAAAAAAATAAATCAACAATTAACACACAAGGCACACATTACTAGTAAATAAAGTCTAACTCTTTATAATTTGACACCCTCTGTCTCAATTTACTGATTTTTTTCTAAGAATTTTAACTTTTTAAAGGAACATATAATTATTATACTTACATTTAAATTTTAAAATATTTTTTTTACTAATGTTTCTAATTTTTTTTAAAAAAATTGAATTATTTATAATTATTCAAGAGATAATTTTGAAAAATCAAATATTTTTTATTTTGACTTTTCAAATAATACTATCATTTTAAAATAACTCAAAATAGAATAGTGGAACAACAAAATAAAATGGGGAGCATAAAACTCCAAATTTCAGGTCAAATCTCTGAAGTCTAAACAGCTCCAAAGTCAACTCTTAGTTCACGTATAAATCAACCATTAGTGTGGTCAATCCCCAAATGTGGTTCGTCATAATTCAAGTAAAATTGGAGCAGAGTTAGGGTGTGTTTGTTTTGAAGGATTAGGGTGTGTTAGTCCCATTGAATTAATAGTTTATTGTTTGTTTCAAAAGTTTTGCAGCGGACTAATAGTTCCCTTGGACTATTAGTCACATATTTGTGGAACTATCCTATCCCATAGGGGGGTTGGGATTATTTCTATGGGATTGGTATCCCATGGGATTTGAGTGTGAAATGTCCATTTTACCCCATGCTATTACTTAGCAAACAATTAAAAAAGGGTAAAATAGTCTTTTGAACATTTATAAATTATTTTTTTAGTGTTGTTAATTTAAAATTATATATTAAATAAAAAATTTAAATTATAAAATATAAATTATAAATTTAATTTAATTAAAAATAATAAATTAAAAATTATGGCCTTATAAATTAAAATTTTTTAGTGTTGTTAAATTATAAATTATAAATTATAGATTACAAATTTAAAATTATATGTTAAATAAAAATTATAAATTATAAGGGTAAAATAGTCTTTTGAACATTTATCATTATCCAGTCCGTCTAACCAAACATTGGATTTACTAAAAATAGTCCAATCCAGACATCTAATCCCATGACTAAACAAACATAGGATACAAATCCAATCCAACCAAATAGTTCGGGGACAATGTATCCCGGGACTAACGGTCCGATGGATTACAATTCCTCCTTATCCAGTCCGTCCAAACAAACACACCCTTAGAGATAACAATAGTCTCGGCTAAAGGCCTCAAAGACGTCCCACTTCTCCAAGATGGACGTCTCGGTCTCTGTCTCCGTCGCTATCTCCGGCAATCCTCGTACTCACCAAAAAACTCCGGTCGACAAGGATGGTGGGTCCACTCCCTAGGCTAGGGTTTGAAATTGGAATTGAGAAATAAAGGAATTAGGAGATACCAAAAGAAATCCTGACTGAGAATGAAATCTTTGTCATCTGCAATGGAATCGATGTCGATATTGAGGGGCGAAGATCATGGAAGTTGCGATTCAGGGGATTGTTGACCGAGATGGAAGAAAGAGACTTGACCTAGCTGCTTAACAGTCAAGTGTCTAGCCAGTGACCCCTTTATTCTCTTCTTCTTTCTCCTGCTACTCCTTAGGTTTTCCTCTTCATCAATCAACAATCTCCACCTCTCTCTTTCTCTCTCCTCTGTTATCTATTGATATATATATATATATATGTGTGTGTGTATGTGATTTTTGGAATTTCAAAATGGAGGAAAGAGAGATAGAAAGGAAAGTGGAGGAGAAAAGCTCAAAATTGCGCGGGGGTTTTCTTCGTGGGCAATTATTGAAGACATCGAGTGTTACCTTGATTAAAATGCTTCGCTACTCTCTCCTCCTGTGGAGCGCAGATGATTTTTGTATTAAATCTGAACCATGAACTGGAGGAAGATGGTGGATCTTTTCTCATTTGTTGTTTGTTTGATTTGATGGAAAGGTACGGTTTGGATGATTACAAATTTAAATAGGTGATGTCATTTAGTGTACTGCGTAAGCTTTCCTCCGACAATGGCAATAAAATTTTTGGGAGTTACGGCCGGTCCTTTGGATCGGACTTAATAGCCATGAGATTTTATTCCAAAATAATTTAGTCTATCTTTCCATTTTACTCTTGATAACTCACATGTTTGACTTCTCAACAAAAATGATGAAGAGAATGAATGAGAGAGATGAGAAGCCATTATCAGAAAATAGTTCTCATTATTTTTCACATTCATAGATCAAGACAAAGCATCAAAAATCAGATTCAGTGATAAATTTATTATTGTTTGTTTGTAAAAAAATTACAAAAGGAAAATCAAGCAATCACTATTACAAACCAACATAAGAATCAGAGATACATTCAGTAATAAATTTATCATTGGTTGTTTGCAAAAAAAATTGCATAAGGAAAATTTAATCATCACCATTACAAATGATAAATTTATGGAGGAAGATGGTGACAATGATGATGTCAGATTCAATGATAAATTTATCACTAACTGTTTGTAAAAAAAATACAAAAGGAAAATTACCATTACAAATGATAAATTTATCACTGTTTAGTTTATCATGTTTTATACAAAAAAAAAAAAAAACATATTAACAAATTTACTGATAAATTTATCACTGGTTTAAACAAGATAAGAGCTCTGATCGGCATTGAAAATACCTAGATGAACCCATCACTGTTCTGATCTAACACGCAGAACGCCTTTCGCATGTCTTCTTTTTCATCTCGTTCATCCATTATTAACTTGGACAGAGCTCCGAACTCGTCAATGTCGACACACCTATCTTCGTTCATGTCGATTTTCTTGATCTCTCTTAGATCTAACACTATCTCTCTAAAATCCAAGAGCCATAGAGTCAGCTCTCATGTTCACCAACACTAATGAACAACTGTTTGATTTCTGAGTCTTCGTCACAAACTTACTCACCGCCGTCGATGCTATGACCCCTTCATCTCTGCCCAACATTACAGTGGCGCAATCAATGGCTTTTGCAACACAATAGTACTTGAAATACTTTTCAAAACCCAAATCCTTTAGGGGTAGAGAGAGAGAGAGAGAGAGAGAGAGAGAATTAAATAGAACTACATAATTCATAACAGCAAGGGTAAAATCGGGATAAAAAAATACAACAGGACTTCTTGGTGCATGAGATAGAAACTTAAGACCTAATGAGTAATAGATTCAATTATTAGGACCGACTGGTAAAAAATTCTAAAATGTTTTCGAGGTAATTGGCCTAACAAGCCCAATAAATAAAAACACAGTATCGGAGTGCGAAAAAGGGAATTGGGCTATGGTCCATTCATAA